CTGGACTCTCTCCAGTAGCTCTTCATCTTTCTTGAAGTGGGGAGCCCAGAACTGGACAGAGTACTCCAGATGGGGCCTCACTAGGTCAGAGTAGAGGGGAAGGAGAACGTCCCTCAACCTACTGGCCACACTCTTCTTGATGCATCCCAGGATCCCATTGGCCTTCTTGGCAGCCAGGGCACACTGCTGGTTCGTGGTCATCTTGTCGTCCACCAGGACACCCAGGTCCCTCTTCACAGAGCTGCTCTCCAGTAGGTCTGCCCTGAGCCTGTACTGATGCATGGGATTGTTCCTGCCCAGGTGCAGGACCCTGCATTTGCCTTTGTTAAACCTCATCAGGTTCCTCTCTGCCCAACTTTCCAGCCTGTCCAGGTCACGCTTCCAATGCAGTGAAAAGGAAGAAGAGATTTGTTCACCTTTTCATATTCTTAAAAGATTATTTGAAAATCATTCATACAGTCCATCCTAATGGAATTAGTTTATAAAAGATTCAAGTGACATTACCTCAATGTTTATTTTGTGTCCCTGATACAATTAGAGTGTCGAAAGTTATTCAAGTTTGTTTTTTATTTTTTTTCCCTAATTAGAAAGAAGTTATGTAGCTCTGGATCTTGAATGGATGTGCACATATAGGCAACCACATTTTTAATCCTCCTTTGAATCAATGGGAGTGTCAACGGGCTTAAAAAGATGAACATCACTGTTTTCAAAATTAATGCGAAGCAGGCAGAACAGGCTTTTTAATCTGCGGAGGAAGTAGAAGTATTATTAGTTAGACTGTACATGAAAGAAACCTTTTTGAATTTGAATCACTTGCTTAATTTGCTGTTACATAAAGGAGTTTTAGATGTAAAACGTGTTTATCTGGAGTTGGTAAGGTGTTTCTCGCCGTGCCAAGAACAGTACTTCTGAGAGCATAACCGAAAGACTGCCTCATTCCTGTGTCTGGAGTCTATCTCCATGTCCACCAAATGGCTGTATTTTTTGAGTCTGAAGGGTTCCTCTGTAACTAATTATTAGAACAAAAACAAGAGACGGTTTTGCATAATGTCTGAACATTAAATATAGCTTTTAAAATACTTCCAAACATGTCCCTTTAGACTTCAGCTTCTGTTATATAGTACTTAAACGTAAATCAAGGTTGGATCTAGAGATAGTGTTAAAAAGTATCTTAAAAACCCAGGCTGAATGAACATGGTTTTGAAATAAAATCAGGAATATATCACTTGGGCAAAGCATCCTTTAGAAAATCTCTTAACGAGTCTTTCCCAAGACTCCTCCTTGAGACTCAGGTGGTGTTTTGGTTTGGGTGCTTTTTGTTTTGTCTTTTTTTAAAAATTTGAATTGAGTATTTTATTATTTGCAGATTAGGTAAAGCTCGGCAATTCACCTGGGTGTAGATAGGCCCGACTCAGGCTTTTTCCTGTAGATGTGGCTTTGCCATAATTTTTGCAAGATTAAAAATTTATTTGACAAAAACATTATCTTAGACTATTACACTATACATGAAAGATGACTATGATCCTAAGAATATTTCTGCAATTGTTAGTTTTTGACTTGGAATCTTAATATTGAACATACTTTTTGCTAAAATTAATTTTGTCCTCTTTTGCCTTACAATAATAATATTACCTGACTGTGCTTCCATTTAAACCTAAAATTATTATCCTTAAATTTTTGTCAGTATTTGCCAATATAAGAGAATGAACTACACTTCATACTTTTTAGTCCACATCAATTTCCTAATACTATTTAAAAATACCTTTAAGATTATTCTGACTTCCTTATAAATCTCCTCAATATCCTAGTGAATGGCCGTAAAAATGTATGTGAATATGAGAGTGACTTGGAAGCAGCAATAATGAATTAGTATAATCTTGGCATACAATTTAACCTAAGTACCTGGAGTCATCTGAAACTCACTTCTTATTTCTGTGTTAATGAATAACTCATATAACAGCTGGATCATAATACTAATTTGTGCTTCTTAGATAAATACACCACTCCAAGCACTTAAATAGAACTCGAAACAATAGTATTTTGATCTACGTGTTACCTGTCCTGTTTATAGAGATTTGTCTTAAT